AATCCCTGCTTTTACCGTCATTTCTCTTTAACAAACTAACCTGGAAGTGTTGACACACACACACACACATACACACACAGCTGTGTGTGTTTTGGCACTAATTACAACTGTTTATGAGGGAAAAACAACCTTGATATAAAACTCTCTGAGGTGATTATTTTTAGTTTAAAGTTAATTATGTAATTGTATCCAGTGTATGGTCTGTCTGTCATCTCTCAATCCTGTAGGTGTATATATGTCTTTTTTTTTATAAAGATTATTTTCCAACTTCATTTTTTTTTTCTCAGATGATGGATACGTCGCCACATCAAGTTTCTTTCGCAGACTTTCATCAGATCAGTTTATGTGGGCTTGGTCACCTCACCCAGGAGTGAAAGATGTGTTTTCTTTTGATGAATACAGTGACTGAAAACAAATGTTTTTCTTTTTCATCTGGGCTCATTTGTTTCTCCTGAGTTTCCTGTTTAGCAGCTGTGAAATGTGAGGCTTGTCTCCAGGTAGACGGAGCGCATGTGGGCCCGGCTGCACACTCGGCTGAGTCGTGTTTCTGTCAGCCTTGTGGAAAAAGAGCTTGCTTCGTTCAGGTGAAATGAAAACACTGAGGGGGTTTTTGTGTTTGGCGCGGGAGGTGAGAGCTGGTTTATCACCGAATTTGAAGGGCTCCTGGTAAAAGTCGTGACCAAACATGGTCTCACCTGCAGCAGATGTAGTGAATCTCAAGATTATGCGTCGCTGTGAAAAGGCCAGTTTCGTGAGCGAGGAAATGAGAACATAAGTAATTTCAAAATGTGACAATTGCATTTGCAGTTGCAGGATAGCTACTTTGTACCCGTTGAGGAGCCACAGTCAACAAAATGGAGGCTGCTGGTGATATGGGTGTTTGCCCAGGGCTCTATTAGAAAGTGGGCTGCACAAGCTACCGGCTTTCCTGTCAATGACATTGTGAAAAAGTTTTACATGGGTTTTTTTTATTTTTTTATCAGCAGTCAGTCCTGCTGGAAATTTTATTTTTTTTAAATCTGATCATCTGATATATTTTGACTAAAGATTTTGGAGCAAGAAATAAGACATCAAAACCTTGGTTGAGATCTCCCAGTACCCGGTAAAATAAAAAATATTAATAAGCGCGTGCAAAACTTTTTTTTTTCTTCAAACAAAGCCATACAAATATAAGGAAACGTCATATTTTCAAAAATCCATCTCCAACTCCTAGAAAAAGTGGCTTTTTGTCTCTGGAAGTACTTTATGTAACATCAGAAAAAGAGAAATCATTTTTTTTCCAGGAAGAATAAAAACTAATGCTTGTTGGTGATGAACAGAGTGCTTTTTTAAAATAATAAAATACAGGCAGGCGAATGAGGGATTATTACGTCCTCCATCGGAAGACCGAGAGAAATAATCCACAAGCTGCAGGACAAAGTGCCGGGGACAAAGAAATACGCAGAAAGAAGAGAGAAAAATGAGGCCCAGTGAGATCTGAAGAATCAAAAAGAGGAAAGGCAGAAGCAAAGCTGTCCCAGAGAGGTATTTAAACGCACTCTGTGCCTTGGGGACTGGTAAATCCAGCAGTATTGATGTTTGGTCTCCTCCTTACGGGGAAGTTCAGCACCAGTGGAAAGCGGAGCTGACAGATAACCAATAACAAGCCCAGATTGATGCAGGCAGAGGGTTGGAACCCACTCTGAGAAATAATCCTCCGACAGACAAATCGACTCCACATCCGAGCTGTGTCGTAGTCAACGTCATAAACCAGCGTCTTCCCAAAGAGTCAAGTTTGTGTTTCTAGGCTGCAACACAGAGAGAAAAACTTTAAAATGAAGAGTGACGTGGGCGGTCGGAGGAGACAAAGGACGCCGTTCCCCACCCGGATTAATATTTGATGAGGAGGCCGACGTGCTCCAGTGAAACATCACGAACACACGGCAGCGTTAACGGGGCTTGTGTCACAGCAACACGCAGGCTGAGGGCCCGGCTCCGTTCGCCAAACACGTGAACACATCCCGTCTGGACTCCCTGGATTATTTCTAATTTGCTAAATGACAAAATGATGAGATATGTCGTTTTTAGATAACATACAGATAAAACAATGTAAGAGAGAAAAAATACCTTTTATTTTTTTTTAAAAAAAGCCCTCCATGTTGGAAAAAAAATCATCAAATCAAGCTGTTTTCATAATCGCTAACCAGCTTTTACCATGCGTTAATTTGATACTGTTCATTTGAAGACCTTCCTGATCTTTAGCTTCATCTACAGATTTCCTATTCAACTTGTTACTAAATATGTAACAGTCCATATAAACATGTCGATTAAATTAAAACATTTCTAAATAAAACCTATGTGTTTCAGGAGTATGAAGCTTCCGCTGTCCCTGATTTTCTTCCGCTAACAGCTGTGAGCTTCACCTCGGTTTGGCAGAACTCCTCTTTTCTTAACGCAAAGAGAATCGAAACTCCGATTTCCGTGCAAAATGAACGCAGCACGATCCTAAGAGAAACCCAAGTAGGGTGCTACCGTATTTTCCGGACTATAAGTCGCATTTTTGAGGGAAATTTATGTGATAAAATCCAACACCAAGAACAGACATGTCATCTTGACAGGCAATAAAAATAGAATAGAGGCAACAACAGGCTGAGTAATTGTACGGTATGCTAACGTTACATGACAAACAACGAACTGAGAACGTGCCTGGTATGTTAGCATAACATATTAAGAGTTATTCAGATAACTATAGCATAAATAACATGCTAACAGGTTTACCAAACCATCTGTGTCTCTCCAAATCAATGAAAGCCCACTGAGCAATTAAATCTTCGTCCTCAATGTCGCTTTTAAATAACTGCTAACTCCCAGGAGGAGGATAAAACAGACTTAGAGCGCCCTCTTGCGGCTTAGCGTGAAAATAACGTAATGTGATATAATGATGTGTTAATTTCCACACATAAATCGCTCCGGAGTATTAGTCGCACCACAGGCCAAACTTTGAAAAAAACCCTGCGACTTATAGTCCGGGAAAATACAGTAATTATGGTGGCGCTAACTGCCGCTACCCGTCCGAACCTCAACGGGATTCTCTCCTTCGTGTCGATTCAACACGCTCACAAATAGCGTGCGTCCCTCTGAATTGGTGAGACAAAAAACAAACAAACAAACAAAAAAAATATCAGAAATGCTGATAAATAGTTAATATCTAACGGGTACCGCGCTTCTCCGGTGGCGGCCATTTTTTTTCAAGTCAGTGTTCATGTGATGAAGGTTCGTATTGATCGGTTCTGGGAACAAGGCAGAGGTCGCCCTGTGAGTTTTCCCAGAGATGTGAATCTGGTTCATCCAGCTTCCTCTGGTGAGGATGAAACTATTGAAGGCTTTCAGGTGCCGCATCCTTTCTGTCTGCGATGGCGCTGATCTGGACTGGACCCAGGAACATGCTGGTGATGATTGCAAGGATATAATCAGGTGAGTAAACAGGCCAGAGCCGTTCAGAGGCTCATCACATAAGAGGATTAGCAACGGGCTGCTGTTAAACAAAAAGATGGTATTTCCATTATTATTATTATTATTATTATTATTATTATTATTATATTATTATTATTATTATTATTATTATTATTATTATTATATTACAAGCAACTCTCAGTATGCAATTAATTGAAAAACACATTTACACCCCCAAAATGTTTTTTGTTTTTGTTTTTGTTTCATATAGTTCATCACATTTAAATGTCAAACTTATTGAGTTCGCTGAGATTTTGTGCAATTGTAACATCCAATGAAAACTGTACCTGGCTTTCCACAATTTTTTTTTTTTTTTTACAAGGAAAAATCTTAACATTGTGGTTGGCATTTGTGTTTAACCCCCTCTTACCCTAATACAGACAAATAAAATTCAGTTTAGAAGTTATAATCTCAGTCAGAGGCTGGTTCGCTTGACAATATTTATAGAAAAAAAAAATCACAGTTTAAAAAAAAAATGACACCGCCAAACAAGACCTAACGGAGGGATCTGGAACGTATAGCGACTTGAAACGGAGAGGTTTAAATTTCTGGGGAGGCGATCACTGGCACCTGAATCGGGTTAAATCAACAGAATGCTCTGCAGAGGGGGCTTACTGAGGAACTAAGGGGGGAAATGAACAGAGTTATCACAGAGTAACAGAAAGATTACTAAACAATCGCAAAACAGAACTTAAAGAAACGGTAGAAAAATGTCAAACTCACGAATGACCTTTTGAAACGATGAGCAAAACCAACGACCCACGGATGTTGGTGATGCGAGAGCATTCAGCGAGGTGGACGCTAATCAGAGGAGAGAAGTATGTGATAATTAGAGTGACTGCATGGATCTACAGCTCAGGTACCAGAGGACTTCATGGTAGAGTGGCAAGGAAAAGTCACAACAAAGCCCTCTGAGTTTGTGTAAGGGACACTAGGATTAAATCGTTTTGACAAATAAGCAGAACCTTGTGTGAAAGTGAATATTGAATTCAACATCCTCAAGGTAATGCTTGGTAGTGGCAGCATCAGGATGTGGGGGGGATGCTGAAAGAAGACTTGCTACTGACTGCAGATGACCAGGATGGATCCAAAGGATCTCAGACAAATAAAATAAAATGATTTTGATTAAAATATATTAATGAATGGCCCAGTTAAAGCTCAGGAGTCTGGAAAATAATATGCAGGACATGTATGCTTCTCCATCCAGCGTCTCCCAGAGAAGAGGAGATCTCTCTGCTTCTCCGTGACGCTGCGCCCCTCCCTTCCTCTTTCCCAACAAATGTGAGGCGCACCAGCGGGACAGACTCAGCACGGCTCCGGTTCTGGTGCGGCAACTATCAGGAAAGTGACGCTTGAATCTAAAGCCCCCGCAGAATCCCTCCGAACCGTGGATGAGAGTGGGAGGAAGAAAACACGTTCCAGTTGGGGGAAAGAAGTTGACCACAGAGAGCTCTGCGCGGGCAGTTCTCCTCCCTTGTTGATTTTTCTCTTTTTCTCTTCTTTTTTTTTTTTTTTTTTTTTTTTTTTTTTTTGAGCAGCGCGCTGACATGCCAGCGGGAGTAAAGACGTGAATGAAGCGCGGCTCGGACCCTGCGGCGCCAGCGCGGCGGTTTGGTGGAGAGAAAAGGATGAAATCCAGGAGTCAGGATCAGAGTCTCTCTGACTCCAGAGAGCTGGACAGATCTTTTGATCCGCTCACAGGTAAGGTTACTCATCATCATCATCATCATCATCATCATCATCATCATCATCATCATCATCATCATCATTGACAGCAGCAGCTTTGTTTATTTAATGCTATTTGCTGGTCTGGATTTACTAATAGCTTTAAATTGATTTCCTCTCATTGAATGACGGTAAACATCAGCACGTTTTCAAAGAGCTGCACGTGAATTAACTTTAAATCGGTTTTACCAGCGAGGAAAAAAAAAAAAGAAAAAATGCTGGATGGATTTGATCTTGATGCTGTTTTTATACCAGAAAGTAACATAGAGCGATGATCGCGGTGCAACCAGAGGACACAGCTGGAGCACAACTACTTCATGAAGTGTATATCCGGCGCCCCTCATTGGTGCTAATCAGGGTCATGCCTCTGGTATTGATTGTATTATTTACACGCCCACAGGCAGCTGTTAAATCCAGAAAATGCTGACGAGAAGGAATTTTATCGCTATTGCTTTGGCGCCTCGTCTTGCGCAGCGCCCCCTGTGGGTCACATTTAGTGCATGTCCACTGTTTTGCACCACTGGGATGGTGGATGGGAAGCTTGAAGGGGGAAAAACAACAACACTGTTGCATATTATCCTACACAATGATTTATTTAGAAATGATCTATTTATAGAATATTAAGCTTTTACTGCAATTGTTTCACTTTTAACATCTTTGGAGTAAAGAGTGCAAAAGTTTTCACATCACTGCCACAAATGTCATAGTATTTTATTTGGGTTTTACGTAATAAAGTGGGATATAAGCACAACAGAACAAAAATGGCACGTCATGAAATTGTGACACATTAATGAGTGGAAACTTGTGGAATTACTTCTTTGCTGCAATTACATCATCTCTAACCATGTTCAAGAAAAGTAAACTCTCAGCATGATGCTGCCACAGCCGTGTTTAATCCTTACGGTGATGTGTAATGTTTTATATGTAAAAGGGAAGCATTTGTCTCATCTGGCCGGGACATCAGTTTCCATATTTACGTTTTCTCGCGACAAACTACAAATACAGCTTTCTGTCAACAATATCCGTCATCTTGGCACTTAGGAAAGGCCGGGTTTGTGGAGTGTAAGACGAACTCGCTCTGCAGATTCCAATAACCCTAACCTTGATGTTTGCGTTTGTAACATGAAAAAAAAAAAAAAATCATGGCGTATGAAAACTTGCTTGTATTTCTTTGTGTGTTACATGTTAACGATGAGGTTGTAAACTGATACTGATCACAGACCAGCACTTGCACACGTCTCTTAATTTTATTATTCCAAACATGATGACGGATCAAACTTCCACTCAGAATAGCTTGGCCTGCTTTGAACATCCTGGTTGTTAATTTAGCTAAATCAAATATTTATTATTTGCCACCAAGTTGAGGAACAACAAGTATTTAAATGTGTACCTTAAACTGCAGTTTATGAATCTGTATTGAAATAAAATACTTTTTTTGGTGAAAAAAAACGCTAAAGTTATACCTGTCATTTGGAGCCTATGTGGGCTGAGATCAGTGTTTCTTATCTTTGTGTTTTTTCCCCTCCTCTGTGGAGATCACACACAGATTTCTCTGTACTTTGAGTCTCTCTGTCCTTCTGACAGCTCCCAAATATAGTGAAACAAGCAGAAGTAGCATATAAAAATAACCAAAAAGCCACTTTTGTTGCTTTTTCCATCACGATTCCAGAATCTTTGTAAGCTGCTTTTGTGTCTGAAGATGCAGGGCGGCGCATGGATTCAGCTCCAGGTTAACCAAACACTGAGGAAATATAAACAAACCGTTTTTTTAAACAAAGAAAGCAGAACAGATAAAACCCATTCTTGCAAAAAAACAAACAAAAAAAACAAACTAAAGTCCAGCTCTATTAGAAAGGTTGAAATGCAGTATTTATCAGCCGTCCTGATATTCAGGCTGCTGTGTGTTCATGTGAAATATTCTTGATGCAGTACATTTTTGTCACGTCATCATTCGTATGCGTCTCCTCCCATGTCACAGTGACCCTGAGGTCAAAGTGATGTCATCGAAAACTGCTTCTGATGGACTTTCTGTCATGGAAAAAGAGGACAAAGAGGACTATTGCTTCTAGAGCAATAGAAACTTAAATAATATTCTACTTTAAATAGGTGTGGGACAAACTTGTGCTATGAGTTCAGTCATTTGAAAAAAACAAAGAAAATAATATCGGAACGTCCTCCAAAGTCGGATTTCCCACTGGGAAACTGGAAGCAACTCCGACTGCCCCCAGTTATGACTTGTAAGGCGGTCTTCACATACAGCCACTCCTTCCATCAACAGGACGATGTGGCAGAAACACATTTGTGGGAAGATGCACAAGAAAGTCCGTGTCTTAAGTAAACAAAACATGTAGCGCCTGCAAATAAGTTTCCAAGTTTGTTTATGGAAAGTAAAGCTTAAAATGTTTGCAAGAGGTATTGCTAGCAATGTTTGCTTGCGTCACCATGTTGAACTTCCAATTTCGAAACCCTCATTATTACCAAGCATTTGGCTTGTGTACTCCTCATTATTGTAATTCTTGAAATTACGATAATTTCAAGAAATTTTAAAAAGTGCCAACTTGTTGAGAAATTTCACTTTGAGAGTATATATCAATGTTTATTTGCATCACACATTTTATTAACAAAGCAGTTCAAAGTGCTTCACATCATAAAACGTCATAAAAACATCACACAGTCTCCAATTTGAGAAGCTAGTTAACATTGTTCAGACTACGCACACATACATAGAAAAAATGCAAATGATACATTACAGCCACCTGTACACATGTCCATTCTGTGTACAAAGGTGAGACAGTCCTCCTCTGGCAGAAGATTGGAAACATCAGAAGGTGTTTGTCCCCAAACCAACAGCTGTGGGGGAGTACAATGAATCTGCACACCTGACCAAATGCTGGGAACAAACGCCACCAAACGTAGAACTTCAGGGCGGCCAGCGAGTTTTCCAATTACTTTCTGGACATTGCTTTGTCTTCGACGAAGAGCTGCGTCCCAATCAGGATCAAAAACTAAAAACACAGCAGCAATTTTAAGGAGGAGATTGCTGCATATTTTCTTTTTTTGGGAGTTTCACTTCACTGCATGCCACAGAGATACACATCTGAAAACCACTTCACACAAGATGAGGTTGTTCCGGTACAAAGAGCAAAAATAAAGACTATAAAATAAAAGTAACAAAACAAAAAAAAAAAACCCAGACAACTCAGTTATAACTAGAATGCTGTTACCTCAGATCTGACATCAAACCCGGCTGCAAGATCTGAGATACAAAGTAACTGAAATGCAGCATGATCAGAGTTTTGAACCCGAAACTACTAATTTTCCTGCTGAAACTGAAAGCGGGTTAATGTAGTGGATTTTGGAAATGGTAGTCCTTCCACCACCCTTAAGTCAGATTCAGGCCCTCATTGCTCAGTTCAAGAGTTGCTCCAATTCTCTTTCTGAAACAACCAAACTTTTTACATAAGCTGATAACGCCTGCACTACGACTCAGTCTGAACAATAGACAAATCACAATTAATAAAACATGCCAGTTACACAACTGAGCAAATCAGTAATTAATATAAAAATGTTTTAAGGTTGAATAGGGCTGGGTGTGATAGACACGTGATCAATATCAATTGAAAATACGTCCGATAGACGCCAGTCGCAGTACCGTGGCTGCCAATGACAGTTGTGCGATGGATGCCCTGGTGGAGAAGAAAGGCCTAGTTGTCCATTTAGATTACTAAGCGTAATATTTTTTATTCAAATTAATTAATTTGTACACAAGGAATATAGGCAATTGCTGCGCTCAGGAATAAAATCTCAGCCGCCCTTGGACAGTTCACAGAATACGCACAGCATGTTTCAGTATGTGGGAGCACGTTCAAGTTTCCCATAAATCCTTAAAAATGAAAAAGCGCAACTTGGAGTGAAAGGAAACGAGAACAACCGCTCAAGAGGAAAGGTCACATCACCAGTTTGGCAGTCTGATGAATATTTAAACCAAACAACTAATCAATAATTACTGTGATATGAAATGGTTATATTGTGATACATGTTTCAGCCATATTGCCCATCCCTAAGGTTGAAATACGAAAATGAACTTCTGAAACCAACCAGTGAAGACTGTGGCCTTGAATGACGCGGAAATATTTCACAGCCAACTGCAACAATGCAGTTCAAGTATTTATCTTCCAGGGTGTTTTCATGTGTGTTTTATATGTGATTTCTGTCTAAATCTTTGTCCACAACAGAAAGGTTTCTGTCTTTTGTGAATTCTCATGTGTGTGTTTAAACTTTGTTTTTTGCCAAATCTTTGCATAAAAGAATACACATGCAAGAAAGATTTCTGTTCTGTGTGGACACACAAAGTGCATGTTTACAAGTGACCTATGGCTAAATCTTTGTCCACAAATATCACTACAGAAAGGTTTCCGTTATGTGAATTCTCATGTGTGTATTTAAATTAGATTTCTGACTAAATCTTTGTCCACAAATATCACAACAGAAAGGTTTCTGCCCTGTGTGGATTCTCATATGTGTGCTTAAACTTACTTTATGGCCAAGTCTCTTTCCGCAAATATCACAACAGTAAGGTTTCTGTCCTGTATGGACTGTCATGTGTATGTTTACATGTAATTTCTGTCTGAATCTTTGTCCACAGAGATCACAACAGTAAGGTTTCTGTCCTGTGTGGATTCTCCTGTGCGTGTTTAAACTTCCTTTATCAGTAAATCTTTGTCCACAAAAATCACAACAGAAAGGTTTCTCTCCTGTGTGGACTCTCCTGTGTCTGATTAAAGTTGATTTATGGCTAAAACTTTGTCCACAAAGATCACAACAGAAAGGTTTCTGTCCCGTGTGGATTCTCATGTGTATGTTTAAAGTTTGTTTTAGGTTAAATCTTTGTCCACAAACATCACAACAGAAAGGTTTCTGTCCAGTGTGGGTTCTCTTATGTCTGTTTAAAGTATTTTTTCGAGCAAATGTTTTACCACAGTCTTCACAGCTAAACTTCCCTTCTGTCTGTACTTTACTTTGTGAATCTGCATTTTTCTCCTCTGTAAAACATTTACTGTTATCAACTGAGCTTGAGGACCCTATTTGTGAATGTGTCCCACCGGTCTGGAGAGAGTAACTGTGAACATCAAACTCGAGAGAGCTAAAAGATTTGTTAAGAATGTCTCCGTTTGACTTCCAGGCATTGCTCTTGTCATTAGCTTTCAGTCCAGACTCTGACAAGTGTTTCAACTCAGAGACATGGTTTACATCATCGTCCTCTTCGTCATTCTCAGAATCTTCAGTCTCAGAAGATTGTGGAGACGGTTCGATTTCTTCAATCTTGATGGATTCACCTTCATCGTTCTCTTCTGGAAGATCTCTGTCTTTAATTTGGTCTTGATAGAGATTCTGAGAGAGCAGAATGGACTGTATTTCATCCTCACTCTTTATAGGAGTAGTAGAGACTGGAAAGCTGATGACATCAATCTCCTCCTTTTTGTTGAGCTGCTCTCCTCCCAGACTGATGCAGACTTCTTCCTGCTCCTCGCTGCAGCTTGGAGTCATGCAGCTCAGCAACAGATCTGTGGTCTTCAGGAGCTTCTTCTTTAACCATCAGCATCTGCTTAACATCTGCAGCGAACATGGAAACACATTATGCTCATCATCCATTTTCATTCCCAGGAAAACCCACCAACAGTATGCCAGGTGTTTGCGTCAAAAGACGTTAAAAGTTGACAGAAATGCAATAAGCTTAGGTAATAACGTTATTGCAAGACATTAATATTTAAAAACACATAACTATATTCTTTTAAAAAAGCTAATAAAACCTATAAGTAATATAATAGAATTTTCTATATTTTTGTTTCCCATTTAAATCCTAAATAAGTAATTAGCTATTGGCTTGGTCTTCAGACAAGCTGTAATGCCAGTGAAAACAGTCTCTGATTGCTATTAAGCTTGGCATGGGGCCCCTAAGTCATAATCTGCATAAGGCCACATAATACCAAGTCACACTTAAAAGTAAAACAAATGAAAAGAAAAATGAACAACGACAAATATTTGTGGGCTCAAAACTAAATATTCTTAGGGTACAAAATTTAAGTATTTCTTGTATTAGGTCTTCTGCAGCTTGGTGCAATATTTTGCTTTGCTGGTTTTGACTGCTTATTTATCCAAGTGTCATTTATCCAAGTGACTGCAGTATTTGTAAGGGATACTCTCAAAAGGACATTTCTCTCCAGGATGGTGCAATCTTGTTTATTTTTTTCTGCGACTGTCGCGGCCTAAAATTACTGATCTTGTGGCACCTCTTTTTCAAAACGTTGCGGTCAAATTTGTACATTTTTAAGCTTCATTTTGAGAAATAACACGGCCTTACGAAAAAAAAAAAAAAAGAGTTGAAACTGCTGCACACAAAACATCAGTTTCCTTCTCTTTTTCTCACCAAGCTTCATAATCCCTCCTTGGCTGGGAAGATCTGCTCCTGGCTTCTGGTCTAACGTCTCTGCCCTGACACTCTGCTCCTTCTAATAGAGATGTCTCTCACACAGACATTTTTGGTACTAATGGGATGTCATATCATTGTCTCGTGACATACGGCTTTCAAAATACAAATACATACATATATATATATATATATATATATATATATATATATATATATATATATATATATATATATATATATATATATATATATATCTAAGAGAGAGAGAGAGAAAGAGAGAGAGAGACAGAGACAGAGAGAGAGACAGAGAGAGAGAGAGACAGACAGAGAGAGAAGAGAGACATAAGCCATAGAAGAACCGAAAACACACTAACCTAACCCGTCCAGCTGAACCGAGGGGTTGAATCCAGCCTCCATGATGTGTCGCACCTTATTTTCGTCTTCAGGAGTCTCTCGTCCTGAATCTCTCCGCCACAGTCTGAGCTGCCGTCTCCATGTCGCTGTTTTGTTTTTTTAGCTTCTCTTCCTTCAACAGTTTCTGGGTAGTTGGAGCTCGGCTTTCATCCAAACTAAAGAAAGCTGCGTTACGTTACTTTGTTCTGCCTCATACGGAAGGAGCTGCCTCTGCGAACGTTCGTTCTTCTTCTTCGTCGATGTTTTTTTTTTGTTTTTGTTTTTTGCGGGTGGTATCTAACGTTAAGACGCATTATCGCCATCTACCGTGCTGGAGAGTGAGCCAGCGTGTCCCTTCGCTCCCCCCACCCCCTCCAAAAAAAAAAAAAAAAAAAACTAAATTGAAATATTATTAATAGAAGACAGTTGTTACATTTATACAAATGAATAGAAGCCAGGGGGGCTGTAAATAAATTGCTTTTATTCTCCTTTTCTTGTTATGAGAGACAGAGATGTTTATACAACTCAAACTCTCTGCAACTCCAGAAATATATATTCTCATATTATATATATTCTCAGAAAGTGGCAGAACAGGTGTGTCACAGTTTCAGGTTCAGCCGTACACAGAAAGTTGTTCACACATTAGTCTGTCTTAAATTTCAATAAGTACTGCTTTGTGTTGTGCTAAAGTATGGATTGTGCTCTCCCACCATGGTTTATTTTACCTGCATGTGCTTTGCTGTTTTCAGGTAACCCTCTTACCAAACCCAACAAAAAGACCATCAAGCAGCGCTTCCTCAAACTGCTGCCCTGCTATCACTCCGGCTCCAGCCCTTCAGTGACTCAAAGCAAGTAGTATTACACCCAATTTTTCTTACAATTATCTGTTTTTCTCCATGCCCCTGTATGCTTCAGTGTGGATCTCTGTTGGTAAAATGTCACTGTTTTTTCTGCTTCTCTAAACAGGAAGTATAACTGAAGAGGGGGAGCTGTCCACAGTGTGTTACAGACCTGAGGGACTTGACACTCTGGTTCAGCAGACTAATTTCAGCAAAAAGGAGCTGCAAGTTCTTTACCGGGGATTCAAAAATGTCAGTTTGAAGTACTGCTGGGAATGATCAACTCTCTTCCATTCAGCAACTCCTTATGTGTCACCTGCAAAATGCCTACATGGTTTCAATGTTCTCGTGATAGTTAAGAGGTTTTAATATTGGGCATATCTGGATCTGTTATATTCTTTCTGTGTATGTGACAGATCCTGCTGACGTGTTTTTTTGTTTTTTTTTTTCTTTCTGGTATCTGCAGGAGTGCCCCAGTGGTGTTGTGAACGAGGATACGTTTAAAAGTATCTACTCCCACTTCTTCCCACAGGGAGGTCAGCCAGTGTCTCTCGCCTTTGTCAATGTTTTCATTTCGCCGTGAATTCTCTGCCTTCAGTATGTGTTGTGTGTCGGTCGGGGAAGTGAAACTTTAAATCTGCTTTTTCGCATTCAGATGTTAAACTGGATAGTAAAGACCTTCCGCCCGCCATAAACTGTTTCCATTGACCATAAAATTGCAAATTGGAATTCTGAAAAGTACATTTGCTTGATTCAAAATGTGCCAATTTTGAAAAACAAAACAAAGCAATAAACAAACAAACAAAAACAAGTCACATTTCTTTTATTTTTTTTTTTAGCTGGAATGAGTTGGTTTTTCGGCTCTATCAAAATTTGTGTATTTGGCAAAAGTGCGATGGAAATACTTTTCTTTTGCATCATGTTAACAATCGGAAGTCACTACTGCTGAGAAAGACTAAGAAGAAGACAGGAAGTGGTGGGAGGATCATCATTTATCGCACAAAATTCCATCCTTTATTACTAGGAATTTCTTCCTTTACTAAGGACTCTGTCCTGTGTTACTCAGAATTCCAATCAGTGTTATTTAGAATTTCATCCTTTATTAAAAAGAATTCCTTTCTTTACTAAGAATTCCGTCCTTGATGAAAAAACAAATTCCGTCCATTGTAGCAAAGAATTACATAATTTATTACACAGAATTCCGTCCTTGATTACTAAGAATTCCATTATTTATCATTGGGAAAACCTTCCTTTACCAAGAATCCCGTTCTTTATAACTAGGAATTCTGTCTTTTTTACAAAGACTTGGGTCTTTTATTACTATGAATTCCTCAGAGTCAATGGACATTTCCAAACAATCGGAGTTTGACCCACTTTTTGAGGTGTCCCCTGTCCGCTTCCGACATCTTGTGCATTTTACTTCTAGCCCGAATACGGGCCTGCTATGATCTGAGCCTTTATGACGTCAATTTAAAAGAATTAATGTATCTCAAACAAAGAAAACGATGATGTCTGCGGTTAATTTAAAATATTCCTTTTAACTTGGAACTCAATTTAAAAGTGTATTTTGCTTATGGCTTAGAATGTCATATTGATTCAATGAAAAATTTAGATTCATTGTTTCTTTTCTTTTTTTTTCTTAGATTCAAGTATGTACGCACATTTCCTGTTCGAAGCCTTTGACACCCACAACAATGGACTGGTTAGCTTTGAAGTGAGATATTTCTCTTTCCTCTCATGCTTTTGTCTGTCCACAGACTCTTGAATAATAATAACAATAGGTTTTAAATGACATGTGTACTCAACCATTTAATCAGTCATTACTTTTGAAGCAGTTTTAATATAACAGCCTTTAAAATAAACTGAAGATGTATAAGCTTGTCAACATGTTGTCCTGATTTGATTCAAGCTGGGGCTTTTTTTCCTCCCCTGCTTCAGGACTTTGCGGTGAGCATGTCCATCATTTTAAGAGGATCCATCACTGACAAACTGAACTGGGCCTTCAATCTGTATGACCTGAACAAGGACGGCTGCATCACCAGAGAAGTACGCTCACTCTTTGCGTGAGCTGTCCTCGTAATCTTCAACATTTCTTATCAATGCTTCCTCTCTTCTTTTGTTTCAGGAGATGACGGACATAATGCACTCTATCTACAACATGATGGGGAAGCACACTTACCCCAGCATGAGGGACAGCGCTCCAAAGGAGCATGTTGACAGCTTCTTCCAGGTAAAACGTTGACATGCTTGAACCTACGGTTAAATAAAGAGACACCGTTTACTTTATTAAGAAGAAAGTGACTCAAATATGGTTGTTGATATTTTCTATTTGGATTTACCGCGAAGGTGCTGCTGTTCTCATAGGTTCGAACCGTAAAACTTGTCGAATCACCGACAACCCACATTCAGTGGTGATTCATTTTGATCTGCTTATGATAGCTGCCCCACACAAATTCAAGCATTTAACACAAGATTACAACATCTCTGTGCATGTTTTAACCTGTAGTGCGGTGGTGGTTTGATCTTTTTGTTCCTTTATGATTAAATTTGCACCTCAATGCATGTCCAGAAGTACATATTTTAGACTTGCGCTGCAAAAATGTAAAACTAAGAACTTAAGATTTGCCCCTTTGAACGGCTTGCGTCTCACGTTTTCCCAGAAAATGGACAAGAATAAAGATGGCGTGGTCACCATTGAGGAATTCTTGGAGACATGCCAAAAGGTTGGAAGCTTCATCCCTCCTAGACACACATGCAGTTACTAAAATTATTTTCATTTCGTCTCTTATCTGCTCCAATCCAGGATGAAAACATCATGCACTCCATGCACTTGTTTGACAATGTCATCTGAATGCTGATGGACGGACGATGAGAAAACCCTACCGTTGTTTGGAGCTCTGCTCCCCGCATGAGTGGTGGTGAGGTTTCTGTTCCCGCAGCAATAAGAGGAGGGACTCCAACGCACTCCACCTCCTAGAAACTAAAGACACTGAGCAGAATGAGCCAAATATTATGTCTCAAATGTGATAAGTTAGGAATAGCTAACAAAAGTTTTGTTTGGCTGTATGAAGAGGATGACGTGTAACCTGTAAATACCTCTGCTGAAGTAACATGGAGAAAATCCCAGATATAATCGAGACGCAGCTATAGTTGCTTTATTCTAATGCATGGAAAAGATGAGAGCGTTTTTTCTGTTTGCACATTAATCTGCACTCGAGATTAAACCCGAATGTACAGAAACACTCTCAAACAATGAAGTTGCGCTCAAAATGTGAAGTTTGCAAACTTTCTGAAATCACTGTCCAACCCTGCAACTTGAGATGGGATGAAAGCATGAAATGAAATGAAGCCATAATCTTCCAACCACCTCTGTGTCCTAGCAGAACCTAACACATTAACATCAATTTTTGACCGTGTCTGCATGATATATGTATTTTATTTTATTTTTTACCAGCCATTGAAATATTCACTGGGGACTCAAACAATTAATCAACTTGCAATTAATAGCTTATTAGATTAAAATTTGTTGGGTTTTTTTGTCGTTCGCTTTGACCTTTTTCTAGTGTTGTATTTTGGCCGCCATCCAGCAGCGTCACCGAAACAAAGATGGCGGGGACAGAACCAGAACCAGAAAGAGAAACGGTCCAAACAGAGACTGTTGTGGGATGCAAATCACATGTTATATGATTCCTGTAGTGAAACATAAACACTTGTCCAGCTTCTTAAGTTGTCGTGTTAACAGGGATGAAAAATTGTGGTAAGATGGAAAGAAGCATTTTGCCAATAAGTAAGATTGATTCTGAAGGCTGTTGTGAGTTATTGCACTTCATGGAGCGAAGTTTTAGCATTCCTTCAAGAGCAACCGCACACAACACTTATACATGGATATCATGTGGAAATGATATTCATGGATATTCACAGACAACACAATTATCTGTTCATTGTGGATAAGGTGTTTCGCATATTTCACTATTTTAATCTCTTTCTATTCAGTATTCTGAGAGGTTCTCGTGTTATATTTTATAAATATGTCTAAGTTTGATCATTTTAGAAAACCACAATATTATGTTTATTCAGTCAGTTTGTAAGGCCGACAAAATAATGTTAAATTTTAAAACTTAGCCCTTTATGTTACAGCCCTCTTGATATGAGAAAACTCAGCTTTTTCAGAAAATGGCCACTTGTCAATTAACTGTTAGCCGATCGATAAGATCAATCAAATTTAGATTAATTCATTAATCGATCACTTGTGTGTTGTGAAAATCAGATTCTATTTCAAAGCATGACTTTTGTTTGTGTGCTCGTCGCTGATTATCTCATCTTTTATGGGCCTGCCAAAGCCAAAGTCTTTGGGAGTTGTTGTTAGAGAGAAGAGCTTTGATGGTGATATATTCCAGGTACAAGAGACACAAAAAACTTGTATCTAGCACCAAAGACCCCTCCCGTATTTGTCATGTTCTGAATGCACTTTATAAATAAAGCCACTCAAGATTCAACTCAGAAATATTTAATCAAAATCAATACGACACACAAATATACAGACTTAAGTCACACACATGAAAAACATCTCAAACCTAGTTGTAACACAAACACGATGAGGATGTAAAAGTCCTAATTAGAAGCGGTTATCTTTTTAAGTAGGGATGAATTATATATCCATACAAGCTGCTGTGTTGGGGATCATGAGGAATTAGCTGACTTTATCTTAACGCAAGTAAACTGTGGTTTACAGAGGAGTTCGCAATCAACTTAGTGCTTCGATTCTCGTTCTCAAACAATAAACCTATTTACATGCAGTGAGAGCACAACCTGAACAATAGATGAAAATAGTCTGAATAAGACACGCCTGGCAAACAAACCATCAGATGTTCAGGGAAGCAAATTAGTAACTTATGTAAACGGCTTTAAGGTTGAAACGCAAACGTGACCACGAGAGAAAAAGAGTGAAGATTGCTGTTGTTAACTATTTCACAGTCATCCACAGCAGTGTCGTTCAAATGTCCAGTGTTAAATAATTTCCCCTCCAGAGTGGATTCTCATGTGTCTGTTTAAACTTGATTTATTACCAAATCTCCGTCCACAGATTACACAACAGAAAGGTTGCTGTCCAGTGTGGATTATCTTGTGTCTGTTTAGACTTGATTTATCACCAAATCTCCGTCCACAGACATCACAACAGAAAGGTTTCTGTCCTGTGTGGATTCTCGAGTGTGTAGTTAGAGTGGATTTTTGGCTAAATCTTTGTCCACAAATATCACAACTGAATGGTTTTTGGCCTGTGTGGGTTCTCATGTGTGTATTTAAGCTTGATTTACGGTTAAATCTCTGTCCACAGAGATCGCAGCAGAAATGTTTCTGTCCAGTGTGGCCGCTCACGTGTGTGTTTAAGCTTCCTTTTTGGCTAAATCTCTGTCCGCAAATGTCACAACTGAAAGGTTTCTGTCCTGTGTGGGTTATCATGTGTGTGTTTATGCTTGATTTGTAACCAAATCTTTGTCCACAAATGTCACAACAGAAAGGTTTATCTCCTGTATGGATGATCTTGTGTCTTTTTAAACCTGACTTATCACCAAATCTCCGTCCACAAACATCACAACAGAAAGCTTTCTGTCCTGTGTGGATTGTCTTATGTGTGTTTAAAGTGTATTTTCCACTGAGCATTTTACCACAGTCTTCACAACTAAACTTGATTCCTGTCTGGACTTTTGTTCCTGAGTCCACATTTTTCTTCTCTGTAAAACATTCATTATGCAGCGAGCTTGAAGATCCCATTTCTGAATGTGTCGTGTCTTCCTGAACAGGGCAACAGTGAACAGATTCTTCAGTAAAATCAGAGGAGCGACAAGGGTTGTTAATGTTTCCGTCTGACTCGGGAGCTCTTCCCTCCTTCCAGTCACTGTCCTCGTCCTCAGTTTTCTGTCCAGAGTCTGACAAGTGTTCAAGCTCAGAGACAGAGTAATTTACATCACCGTCCTCTTCGTCATCCTTAACGACTACAGAAATGAAGTCATCTTCACAATCTTCTACCTCGTCTGAAAGCTCCCTGCTTTTAATTCCGTCTTGATAAAGCCGTGAGAGCAGAATGGACTCTTTATCATCCTCACTCTCCATAGGAGTAACATCAGTCTCCTCCTTTGCACCGAGCGGCTCTGTCCTCAAAATGATGCACACTTCCTCTTCTTCCTCTTTTATCTGCAGCGGCTTTGAGTCATGCAACTCAGCAACAGGTGTGTGGTCCTCAGGAGCTTCTTCTTTAACCATCAGCATCTGCTTAACATCTGCAGCAAACATGGAAACACATTACAAAGTATATAGACTGCAACGTTGATTTAGCTGAAGCCTAACATTTTTGTTTACGTTTCCATTTTCACAGCAATAAATCTTTTCAACAGCTTCAAACCCATCCATAGATATAAAAGTTTTTCAGATTTTTAAAAAAGTTTTTCCATAATTTTATGCCCGTTTTGTCCAAAAACGCTTGATTTGTAAAATTATAAAACCTCTAGATATGCAAAGTTTCCAAAAATGAACTGCAAAATGGAATATTTTTGATCTGTATGTCTCAGCTTTGAACAAATCCAAAATCAATCTTTACATTTTTAAGCTTAATAATTTTTACAGGAGGAAAAAAGCAAAAAGACTCAAGACTGACTTAAAAAAATGCAAAAAATAAAAAACATTTTTTTGGGGGAAAACAGATACATTTTATAATCTTGTGGCATTTTATCCTCTGGTAAACTAATACATTTACCATTAAGTGGAATGCTCACTTTATAAATCATTTTTGATTATGAGTACAGAAACAACAACAATAATAACAGCAGTAAATTGAAATGATTTGATTGGGGACAGTAAAGGAGCCTAATACAAAACAGCTCTGGCCCAAAACAGGCTGCGGTCGTATAAACGCTGGAGTAAGTTGGCCTATTATCCTATTCATCAACCATAGACCCCCTTTTCTAAAATAACATGCATTTGTTTCCCAGATCGATTCTACTGTTTAACGAAGTATTTCATCTCCACCGTCCATTTGGCTACATTTGAGCTTTAAGAAAGTATTAGTCACCTTAAAATGTCTCTAAACTGCAACAGACACGAAAACATACCAACCTAGTCCGTTCAACAGATCCTTATGGTAGAAACCAGCCTCCATGATGTTTGCTTTGTCCTCTTTTTTAAAGCTGTTTCTGAAATCCACTTGGTCTTTCAGCTCTTCTTCTGCTGCTGCTTCTTCTTCTTCTGGTGATTACTGGTGGCTGGCAAACAAGGCGCATTACCGCCACCAACTGGTGACTAGTCTTTGCCTGAGTGAACGATTTTATTAAATTTGCTTTAAAAAAAGGCTCTAATATTCTTTTAATTAGACCTGTCTTTTTTTTAGATATTTAAGTAAATACTGGTAATATCTATCCCTCGAGGATTTCTAACTAAAATGCCTATATATATATATATATATATATATATATATATATATATATATATATATATATATATATATATATATATATATATATATATATATATATATATATATATATATATATATATATATACATATATATATATATATATATATATATATATATGTAGAGAGAGAGAGAGAGAGAGAGAGAGAGGTAGCCCAATATGAACCACACTCCATACCAGTAAGTGGCGGTAATGCTACTAGCAGTTTGTGAAGAAGAAGAAGAAGAAGAAGAAGAAGAAGAAGAAGAAGAAGAAGAAGAATATCTGCAAAAAGATACCTGATTCGGTAGAACCAGGTAATGTAGCGCAACTTCCTCCAGTTTGGATGAAAGCCGAGCTCGGCTGCCCAGGGCCTGGTGAAGGAAACTCTGCAGAGAAGCTGACGACAGAAGCATGGAGCAGCTGGAGCCGCGGCGGAGGGACACAGGAGCGGACAAAGACGACAAGCTGCGACACGCCGTGGAAGATGGTCAGTTAGGTGAGCTTTCATTTCAGCTACAGTAAAGGAACATTTCAAGGATCCACTCAAATGTAGCCAGTAGACCAGCTCTAATTGTGGCGGCCAGGGGCGCCGCCAGGAATCTTGGGCCCCAGGACAAACACTAACTTGGGCCCCCCAGCTCCCCCCGTGCGCAGCCGCTGTTATAATTTTTTGGGTCTTTTTAACTCATCCAAAGCTTCACAATTTTAAAGGCTTTGGTCCAATGCTGATACTAGCACAATATTTACAGCTAAATATTGATGATGTCATAAAGATAATGTCTATAAAGATCAGTCCAGTTGTACCATTTCTAATTATGTTTTGCTACTCTTTGAAAGCCACCTGCATCCACCTTAATGTCACAAGCAAGTTTGGTTTGAAAAGTCGAAAGCGAGATGGCATTGAGTTTAGGGTTCAGGTCTGATAGGATGGTCATTTTTTTTACTTGATTTAGTTACCTCCATGAAATACTCGGTGAGAGAAGTTGAAAATAACTGAGTCGTCTGTCAACATGATGAATGACCGTCAGATTTTTCCATGACTGTTTCATAAAACCATCGAAAACGGAAATGATTTGGTCACCTCGACCCCCTGCAAAACGTGTCTTCATCAACTTTTCAAAATGTGCAGCGAAAGTGTTTTTTTTTTTTTTGTTATGAAAGAGAAGATTCATAACATTTATCTTAAAGTAAGCGCTGGTACAGCTGGACGTAGTCCTGTGAAAAAAAATTACATCAAAATTCATAAGAGGTGAAAGGCTTGTGATACTGGCTGTCAAATATTCTTAGATCCTGGCCAGGAGGGAAACGCGTTATGTTTGTGGCGCTCTTGCACTTTATGCTTCACATCTTTTAAACATTGCTGACAGGCCGACCCCCTGTGATACCACCGAGCTGTCCAAACACTTGGCTGCAGAACGTTTGACGTCCTGCACAAAATTGTCATGAAATGCCACAGTGCATAAACAGCTCAGCACTCGGGGATATGAGGAGCTGTCAACTTTGTGAACCTGAAAAATCTGCAGAGAATTTCGTGTTTATTCTCTTCGCTCGCCATCTACTTAAAGCTAAACTTGAACCCATTCCCCACCTGAAATGGAACATTGCTAAGTTTATTTCGTTTTGAATGTTTTGGTTAAAATTTCAAAATGCTGTGTGGATCTGGGATGTTTTGGTAAAACAGAATGAATATTCAAGATATCAGTCGTGTCATTCTGACTAGTCAGAATGTTAATTCTAGATGTCCTAAGTAGAAAAGTCATCTTGTTTCAAGATATCTCTAATTAATTTGGAAATATCTTAAAAGGAATCTTGACTATTCAGAAACTCAGTTCTAGATATCTCTAATTCAGTTTTGTGTTGCTTTCAAGATATCTGCAGTTTAATTTGTACTGGTCGAATTTTTTACGTCTCTTAACTAAAAATACACTGAAGATTTTCTTGGTGGTGTTGTTGAAGATGCATTTAATTGGGACTATAGCTAATCAGAACAAAAAGCGAGATGTCTCAGATTTACCTTATGACGAGCCATAACTTAATTTAGATATGAAATGCATAATTCAGAGAATCTATATTTTTATACAGTTGAAATTGTAGAAAATGGGATAAACTATGTGACAAACTCGCCTAGTTCCTCATCTTTGATCTGCTTGGAAAAAACAGTTTTGTCACGCGATTGCGACGAGTCGATGTGATGAAGAATCGACCCGTCTTGCAGGCGCGACTCACGACCTCCGACCCAAGACTCCATCCAGAGACTGGGACAAAAAAGTTACACTTGATCAGAACAATAGAAATATTTGAATCCTTTGTTCCTAATTAGGATCACTAAGATTTTTCACATCGCATATAATAAAAATGCTAAATTAGAATGTTATTTATGATCTATTAAGGGGATATTTTAAGAATAATGTCAACGATCAGAACTCAGTCCTTGATCACTGTCTGAAACTCCCTTTTCCTGGGAATTGTGAACAAAGATGGGTGGTGCAGTACATTGTGGGAGTCATTCCAGGCTGCAGCCCAAACACTTTCTAATATGCATAATGTGTTTCTATGTTTGCTGCAGATGTTAAGCAGATGCTGATGGTTAAGGAAGAAGCTCCTGAAGACCACAGATCTGTCGCTGAGCTGCATGACCCAAAACCCCGGCAGATAAAGGAGGAAGAGGAGGAAGTCTGCATCAGTCTGGGAGGAGAACAGCTCAACAAAATGGAGGAGATTGATGTTACTCCCATAAAGAGTGAGGAGGAAATACAGTCCATTCCGCTCTCACAGAGTCTTTATGAAGATCTAATTAAAGAGAGAGATCTTCCAGAAGAGAATGATGAGGGAGAATCCATCAAGACAGAAAATCACGAAGATGGTTCCGTTTTATCAGAGATTGAAGTTGTCGTAAAGGATGAAGAGGACGATGATGTCTCTGAGCTGAATCATTTGCCCGACTCTGGACTGGAAACGAAGGACGAGGATAAAGACTGGATGGAGAGTGGAGACCCCGAGGCAGATGGAAACATCTTTTCTGAGTTTGCTGAACAATTTCTTCACAATCACTCTATTCAGAAGCGCATGGCGCATTCGGACATGAGATCTGCAGCCTCTATGGATAACAACAAATGTTTTACAGAGAAAGAGACGGAAAGGAAAGTCCATGCAGGAGATACCTTTAGCTGTGAGGATTGTGGAAAAACCTTTGTTAGAAAATACAATTTTAACAGACACAAGCGAATCCACACAGAGCAGAAATCTTTCTGTTGCGAGCTTTGTGAAGAACGATTTAACCGTAAATCAAGTTTAAATTTACACATGAGAATTCACACAGAATACAAACCCTTCTGTTGTGATCTTTGTGGACAAGGATTGAGGCACAAGCGCAGCTTAAATGCACACATGAGAATCCACACAAAGCAGAAACCCTTCAGTTGTGAGCTTTGTGAACAACGATTCAACCGTAAATCAAGTTTAAACACACACATGAGAATCCACACAGGACACAAACCCTTCTGTTGCGATCTTTGTGGACAAAGCTTTCGCCACAAATCCAATTTAAGTACGCACGTCAGAAGCCACACAAGGCAGCAACCTTTCTGTTGTGACATTTGTGGACAAAGACTTCGCTACAAATCAAGTCTAAGCATACACATGAGTATTCACGCTGGACAGAGACCCTTCTGTTGTGACCTTTGTGGGCAAAGATTCGTCAACACGTCACATTTAAACTCGCACAAGAGAATCCACACAGGACTGAAACCTTTCTGCTGCGATGTCTGTGGAAAACGATTTGCCCACAAACCGCACTTAAGTGCACACGCGAGAGTCCATACGGGACAGAAACCTTTCTGTTGCGATTTGTGTGGTAGAAAGTTTAGTGAAAGAGGAAAGTTAAAAAGACACATGAGAATCCACAACTGAGGGCAAATAGCTTGGCGAGGAATACTAAGCTATTTCACTAAGGTGTTGGCTGTGAAATATGTCATTAAAGACAACTGTATTCACTTGGTTTCAGTATTTTTCTAGTGGTTGATTTAAATAACATTACATTGATAGCCTGTGCTATTCCCTGTTTTTCATCTAAATTGAGCCGTGTATTCTTTTTGCATGCAGATAATTTTTTTAAGAGAATCGGATCACCTGTCTGTCATGAAGAAAGGTGAGTTCGTGGTGACCTTGAGTCAAGAGAATGTCTGCTAATCCATGAACTAAAGCAAATCACCAGCAGGACGATGATCCCAAACACAGCAGGAAATCCAGAAAGATCATCCAAAGAGAATTAAGGTACGGCGACGGCCTAGTTAAAACCCACACCGTCTTATTTCTGAATAAGAAAACCGTTTCTAGTTACTGTTATATTGTGAGTTTGGCTTGTTTGTGATGCATTTAGTTTTGATATGTTTGTCTAAGTCTGCGTTGTGTTATTTTGATTAAATGTGTGGATAGAAGCTTGACTTGTTCATTTGGGTGAGAAATGGAAATCCAATTGAATATACTTGAGTAAGTATCTAATTGAGTAAGAACTAAACCATCTTGATTATGTCGAAATCAATACAATGAAGATGCTTCTAGATTTGTATTGCATTTTAAGTATATTCACACTTATTTCAATAGTGATTCAGTAGCAGTCAAAGCTCAGTGTAAGGACCTTTTTTTTTAACATTGTAGTAAAAATAAAGCAGCGTACGTCAAATGGCATCTTTGTAAGGCAGCAGATGTTCTCAGTCCACTGTTGCATTTTATTTAAAAGGCGCCTGCTGTAGCATAAAGATCCATTTACAAAGGTTAAAAATAAAAATTGTAGTTAAATGATCGGTAAAAATGCTTGTTTGAACAGTTGGGTTTTTAGTGAGGATTTAAAGGGACAGTCCCAGAGAGACCTTTGGAGTGAGCGGCGACATCAAATCGTGGTGAAGCCCATTTTGCTGTAGGAGGGAGTTGTGTTGAACCACACCTGTGGGGGCCCAGTACATTTGTTAGGCGCATGTGGGTTGTATATTTACAGAATGACAAAGGCTTTCCATTTACAAAGGCGTGTTCATCTACATACAGCAGGGTTTCCCACAGAAAACCTACTCTGGGCTCTCAGGAGGGCTTCCAGTGGGCCACCATGTTTTTCAGTTAAAAAGTTTCAAAGTTGATGGGAAATTTGAAAATATTACTTGATAGTTGTGCATTTTTGGAAGATTATTACCTTGACATTTAATATAAAGACTTATAAAAGGCTATAATTGAAAAAAACTAAAATTAACAATGCTAAGCCTGGTGGAGGTTCAAGTGAAGCCTGGCAGCCCGCCAGGCTTATAATACACTGTGGGGAAACCCTGGATAGTCATTTGGTCTGTTGTAACTTCGTTCTTTTTAAAACTTAATTCACCAATATGAAAAATTTCACACTAATTTAAAGAAAGAATATTAGATGCATGGAAATATAACTGTAATTTTAACTAAATCTATAGATAAAGATGATTATCATGTTTCTGATCGGGAAAATAGCCAGTAGAAAAATTGTGAGGAAATGTGGACAGGTGGATCTCCACTGCCCAAAACAATAGAGTGAAATGGTAAGAAAAAAAAATCTCCATCATGGATTTATTATTGCTTGTATTCAGGTTGCATTTGTTGTAAATTGACACTTTAAGAGAATTAAACTGCATTGAGAAAAATGTGATTTTGCATCACCATATATAACGGTTGAAGTAACAAAGAATCATGTTGGGCTTTTGTACGCTGTCAAAAGTATGGACAGAGATGCATTTTTAATATATCATTTATTTTATTAAACAAAATCTCAGTAAAAACTCTTTATGAAATAGAAAGCAAGATTTCCCTGTCAGTAGTTCGCTGGCAGCTGCGGGGCCATCCGGACTCCATCATCTCATCCCCAACAATCCTCGTGGTTTCAACCACAGCTCCAGCTCGGTTCCTTTTTAAAATTCACTTCAAAAATACAAAACAGAACAAAAAAAAAAACGACATCTCTGCTAAATTGATGGAAGATAATACACTGAAGTTCTCCGAGTGAACAACCAAAAACAGTAAATCAGAAAAGAAAAGCATCTCCAGTCTTAGTTAAACAACTGATTACATAAGAGTAGCCAACAGCTCAGCTCGCTTCAAGCATCTTTCTTCCCTTCTGTTGAATTATCACCTGAAGAACGAGTCAGAGAATCGATTTCTGGCTCACTATGGGAGAACGATGACGGTACAAAGTGTCAAAACTACAGTCAAAACAGTGATGTTAGAAACTAAAGGCCTAAAACAGAGAAGCAGATAGGTGCACTGTGCACATTGAGCCACCTCTGGCAGTGTTCTCAAATATTATTTCTTGATTGTTAAGATAATAATAAAAAGGAGGCTACATGATTATCATCACAAAACAAAAATCTCTTTGGCATAGACCACCCACCCAGAAGCCTAAACGCATTCTCTCTCACTCACACACACACACACACACACACACACACACACACACACACACACACACACACACACACACACACACACACACACACACACACACACACACACACACACACACACACACACACACACCTCTAAAAGTTTTTTTTTTTAACCAAAACTTAAATGCCGTCATTATTAAAAGTCAATTATTCTTTCTATATATATATATTTAAAAAAACCAGAAAGTTGAGCCCTGTTAAGATTATGAGTCCCATATTTGACAATAATTGCATATTTTACAGCGGGTGGAGAGCAGAGGGAGGAGTGAATGTTTTCTCTCGACCACAGAATCCCTCTTTGGGTCTTCAGCCTCTCGTTCAACATCCTGTGAGCAGAAAGGAGAGTCAGGATGAGAAAACGATCCGATGACGGGTTTTCTACAGCGTCTCAGTCGGTTCCTTCAAACTTGAGCTCAGTCACCGTCTTGTCCATGATATACGTTTCATGCAAATTTATAATCAGAATAATTTGACATGTTTAGTCACATCAATGGGAAACTTTTTTTTTTTTAAGTTGACAAAAGGTTCTCCGTACTCCAGTGGACTTCACAGCCATAAACCTGCAGCAACTGTGACACCATGATGCCAATCCTTGAGATTTAGTTGCATATATGCTGTGAAGAATTAAGGTGGACTGAAATACAACTGGGGATTCAAACTGGTAAAGTGGTCAGAGAGTTGATATTTCCCCCCACTAATATTAGAGCTGCTGCACAATATATCAAATTTCAGTCATCATCCCAATTTCAATCAGATGAAGATAGATAAATGTGTACGCGGAAGATGACAATCAATTGTAGGAATATTAAATTATAGCATTGCATTTTTTCCCCACAAGATCACAATTACATGTTTTACCAATAATATGAATAATAAAAAAAAAGAAATGGACCATCTAAGCACAGAGTGTTTCAAATAGTTTCCATGACCTTTTTCACATCTGAAAATACTTGGTTTAGCCTCGACTTTGTTCATGTCCAGCTTTTTAACACCACAGTAATGTAGCAGTCGGACCAAATTATTCTCACTGCTCACACAAAGCAAACCTACTGAAGCTGCAGAAATGTGTAAGAAACGTGGCAGCTAAAAATAACATAATACCACCATCCACATTTATATATTTTTCATGTATCTATTTTTGAGAATGGATTCAAGGCATCTCAAGTTGTTTTCCAGATACCATCTCATGTAAGATTATAAACATTAACAAAATGAGGTCATTCCTTAGCCTTTATTTGCAAAACGGATCAAATTAGCATCAATTTTCAATTCCTGAATTGACCTGAACAATAGATCTAGAGTTCGAGTTGCGATAAAATGGTCTGAATCAAATAACATTGTTGTGTTGCGACAACACAGTCTGAACGCAGTCAGACTGTGTTCAGTGAAGGTCAACCTTCCTCTTTGAGTCTTTTCAGAAGCAGCTGTTGACTGAAGCTCCAGCTTCCCTGTCCTGATTCAGAAAAGCATCCACACAGCTTTACGCTGCTGACGCCACTCTAGGTGCTACGGAACACAAAGCTCTTTGTATTTAGGCCCAACATTTAATAATTTAGTCATTTTGGTTTCATTCCGCCACAGCAGCTTCGTCCGTCTTCATGAACTTCATATGCGAGCCCCTCTCTGAACAACTCCACAATATTATCACTCTTACATAAGAGCCAGACTTTGGACGCACACACATAACAGATTTTAGCGATTCTGCCACTTTGTGTTTATCGTGAATCCCAATAAAAATACACTGAAGTTAAAATGAGTTATCTGCTAATATTGTCACATACTGACCGTTAATAGTCAAAGGGTTTGTTGTAGTTGTAGTTCATTCCTGAAAAGTCGTCCCCCATCATTTGTCCGTCATAGCCCTCCATTGGCATCTCACCTTGGTATGAATAGGGTGCGTAACCGTCTGGTTCTGTAAGGAGTTGCATGTTTTTATGAGTTCCCTACTTTATTTGTATCCATCAATATCACTTCACATTTTTAGAAAACTGGCCAAAAAAATAAAAGAAAAGAAAAAAAAAGCACCATAAAAGGAAAAAGAGAAACGAGAGACAGAGATTAAGAGAGAAGATGCGAAGTTTGTAACTGTTACCAGAGGGTACTAAAAGAAAATGATGCTGTCTTTGCAGAGTGTTAACATGTTGGTGCCCTGCTGCAGCTGCGCCATGTCTTGCAGAATCTGCTGTGTTTGCGCATTTAGGGTCACAGTTACTCACCATCTGGATAATCTCCTTCCAGGACAGCGTTGTGGGCCTGTCACAAGAAGGCAGCAGTCAGATACAAGCTACACGTTTACATTTATTCAAGCATGGATTAACATAAAAAAGATACAACTGTCTGTTTTAGTCCTAATGTGGGATTTACACAGCAGAGGGCGCCACACACTCACCATCTCCCAGGCTACAGGGTCCTGCTTGAACAGAGAGTGAGTGAGCTCCATGGAGACGTGCTTCCTGGCTTCGGGGTTCTTATCTTCGGAAATGCGGTAGAGAACAGCAGCAGCGTAGGTAGCTGGAGAGACAGAATCAAAACGACCAGTGATCCACGGGTAAACAAAAGTAAATGTCTGAAACATGGACAGACCTCAGGAATGCATAAGTCAAAGTTCAGAAGTGCGCCCAAGTCTCTAAAGGGCTTGAAACGTATGCGCAGTTGTAGGTGCAAATTCAAAACTCAATTTACTGCATTGAATGTAAAATAGAAGGATCTAAAGATTAAAGTTGTGAGGATATATATATATATATATATATATATTATTATTTTTTGGTTTGAGCAGAAACTCTCCCTGGAGCTTTCACAACTTATTGGGTGTTAGGGATTCAGTACTGGACTCCAGTCTTGCTCAGTGAGGAGTGAACATATGCTCCTGCATCTAAAGACCGTCAGCCATTCAAAGGTAACAAGTTTTCCTCTCAAAACGTAAGGGAGTGTTGGTTTTGTCAAATTCATTTCTGAAGATAATTCAAGCTGATGGCCGTCTCTACATCCCACACCGGAAGACGACAAACTGTGGCTTTTTGGTACAAATCACTAAAATCACAAATCTATCTGGAGTAATAATAATAATAATATATATATATACATATATATATATATATTATATATATATATATATACATATATTTTAAAAACTCTTGTGTTTTGCTAGCTACTTTTTTTGCAGCAGTCATTAAATTCAGATCAACTTAACTAATTTCTGCTTCATGGAACCTGAAGCAGATTTTGGGTGGGTTGGTGGGAGAACCACCAACCCACCAGCCAAACCCATCATTAGAGCAGCTGCTGCGGTGCAGCAGAGGGACATAATTTGAACATGAGTCATTAATAGAGTTTCTACTCCAACTGGAATATGAGAGAAATTAGTTCACTTTAGGATAAGGCCAACATCCGAAATGCCTGCAGCTGGGGAAAGTAAAAATAAGAGGCTGCCGAGGAACATCAAAAGTTTAATTTAACCTTATATTAGATGGCAGAACAACATTCTGTCTGGTATAAGTGATGAGTTGTACTGTCCGCCTCAAAACAGATCATTTAATTATGATTTAAAGAGCTTAGTTGGTGTTAAGATATGCTAACTAGGTTGGTTGGTTATCACCAACGATGATAGATCAGCTTTTAACTTCAAATGGCAAACTTTCTATCTTACTGCAATGAATTTGAGTAGATTTTCACTGGAAGACGGAAAGCCGATGGGATAAAAGCTTTTCTGTCTATTCTATGCATTCAAACAGAAAAGCTACAAACACACCAAGTAGAGGTTGCACTTTCCATCCTGGTTCGTTGAGCTTTCAGAAGTGCACATAAGTAAGTTATCCACCAGGTTCCATGTAGGCTGTAGCCGTACTGAATCTAAGCTCGGCATTTTTGGAGATGTTCTGGTAGGTATTTTTACTTTAACCGACTTTAAACTGTGAAGATCTGACTTCAGTGTAGAAATAAAACAAAACTTTAGTTTGTTTATATGGAAAGAAATGAAAAGCAATTGTTAGCTTGCGGTCGGCAACGCTGATGTCATCTCAGGTGATGTAAAGCTATAGGTCTGCTCTGCTGACTAAGTTTTTGAGGTTAGGCAGCACCAACATGTAATTCCAGAAGTTAAAGTCTTTCTAGCTTAGCTGGAGTAAAGACATGTTGCTAATTCGCTTTGAAGTTGGCTAGTAAGAAACCACCGGCTCCCAACCTTTAAGCCAACTGTTTTGGTTTCACATGCAAACTTTAGGCTTAAAAATAGGATATACCTGGTACATTCACTTCTTGGCATATACATTTAGTTGATCATTAATAACTAAGGAGCGACCAAGCAGTTATGGAAAATAAGTTAAAGTCAGTGTCTAAAATAATAAGGTGATATTTAAAGTATCTGTTTGCGATGGTCAACACAATGTAAGGCCGAAGTAATACTAGAGATGATAAGCTGAGGCCAAACATCTGGAGATTGCTCATACAGCAAGTTCAGCTCATCCAGAAGCGGGTTGCCTTTCTCTCCGACTATGACTCAGAGCAACATTACAAGAAGCTAATTGAGCTGTGATGTATAGGCAGCGTACCGATGCCCTCATTGGGAGAGTGCAGCAGCTCCATCAGTGGAGCTGTAGCTCCCTCTGCTTCAATAGCTGCAGCGCAGTGTTTGTCCAGGGCCAGCTCACACAGAACGCCTGCCGCCACACGCCTCAAGTTGTCCGCTGGGTTGTAGAGGAGCTGCAGAGACGAGAACACACGTTTGAGGAGATGAATAATTCCTTACACATAGTCATTGGTTGACAGTGAGAGAAACGACATCTCATAAACGCAGATTCAGTGCGTCAGGGGCGTCAATGCTGCTTAAGAAGCGCGGCTTGACTCCTCTGCACACACAGGTGTTTTCTCTCACATACTGCACATGTTTGTAGGCCTACATATGAATAATTACTTTTACAGTGGAACAAATTGTCTTCATGAAAATAATTGGATAAGATATCACATTTCTTATAGGATTCTTTTGAAAGTGCCAGGATAAATTGATATTTTGACTTGAGGTGATGCTTTGAGAAGACAAGTGACCCACTATTGCCTAGTTCTGAGTTTGTTACCTGGACAAAGAGTGGAATTGTGTTCAAGCTGGCAATTTCACTCCTATTCGTGGGCTCTCTTGCCAGGATGTGCAAGGCTCCTGTGCAACCTTCCACAATCTCCTCCATTTTCACTCCATCCTGAGATTGAAAGATCAGAGATTATCCATGGAAAAGCAAGATTTTTTTATTTTATCTCTTTTTTTTATGTCTATTTCAATAAAACAAACCAGAATCTGTTAGGTACCTGGTAAGTCTGCTGAGTGGATGAACTAGATTTCTGAGTGTCCTGGTGGGCCTTGAGCAGCAGGTTGACCACTCGGGGGACAGTGTTTGCATCTTTGAGGGGAGCCAGGTTTTCTGGGCACAAGGCCAGGTTACGGATCAGCCCAACAGCAGCCTGCAGAAGGGAGAGAGTCAGAAAGGCACAGTTAACACACTCTGTCCATAATCAATTTGTAACTAAGAGTGAAAAAATGGGGTTTTGCTTGAGTTTTTAACTGAACCATTTCAGTCTGACATGCTCCTTCAAGCGTGACGCTTTGTCCACTTGGACACCGTCATTAATCATCTGTCCCTTCATTTACCTTGGAGTTGATGAAGATTTCTTTTAAAATCCGTTTCAAACTTAAAAAAAAAAAAGAACACTCGCCTAACCCCTTGGGATTTTTTCTAAACCAAAATTTCAGCAGAAGCAAGCGTCTCTATCCTTTAAATTCATTTGCCTACCTTGATGACTGGCCAGTAGTAGGGCACGTTGAGCAGCTTGACGATAGCTGGGATGCCGTAGTGGTTCCTCACGGCGTGCTGCGCCATCTCGGCGTCCTGGTGGCGTGAAGTCAGATGTCGCAGGGCGCAAACCGCAGGCTCGGTCACATCCTCCTTCTCCCCGGCACGCAGTATGGCATGGATCAGCGACTCGACACCATTGCTTTGAGTGACCAGAGATTTGTTGTTGCTGTTGTTGCACGTGAGGTTGGACAGGATGCCGGTGGCGCAGGTCAGCATGTTGACGTCGTCTGAGCTGAGGAGCCCCACCAGAGTCTGCAGGAGGGGTTCAACTCCTTCCTGAAAGGGAAGAATAAGGCAGTCCAGATCAGTGGTGTGCTGGATTGAGGCCCCGTCCATCCGAAGAGCTGAAATCGGTTGTCGTTGATGTAGGCGTGATAAAAGTTGCGTCATTTTGTTCGCAGAGAGGCCCCGGGTTGAAGTGTTTCGACAGAGCTCTGTGTGAAGTGTTGTGTGAATGGCTAAAAGTTTGTTGCTGTGCTTTATGTGGAAATGTGCTCTGACAGCACTGCTGATATTCCTCTTAAACTATCTGGGTTTTGTATCTTTAGGAAACATGCACACTTTTGACAAACTTTTATCTGACGCCATGAGGAATTCTGTACATCTGTTCCGATTCTTCACTAAATAACTCCTATCGGATTGGCAGGTAGTTCATTTTCCTGGATGGAAATTGTCTTTGTCGTTCACAAAGGAGGTTGTCTGCAGGAAAGTGTGTTGCTCTCTGACTGTTTCCTAAAAGCAGAACAGAAGAAGTGGGGAGGGAAAGGGAAACCCAACAGGTGGGGGAGTGACATGTGCAGGAGCGGGAGCTCCTGCACACGTCACACACGTCCGTTACATGAAAGGTGTGTACAAAAACCCACAGTCCAAAACCACCTGACTGCATATCGAGTGTTCAGATTCGGATGAAGTATTTTTTTGGGAATCTTTAGGCAAACGAGGATGTGTTTAAGAAGTGAATTAGAACCTGCTTTGTCGCAGCATCGGACAGGTTTCTGAGGGTCCACAGGCAGTTCTGCATCAAACGCTGGCTGGAGTTTTGCAGGTGTCTACCAAGAGCCTGCATCCCACCTGAGAAAGGAGAAGGAAAACTCAGCTCTTAACGACATCTCATAAACGCAGATTCAGTGTGTCAGGGGCGTCAATGCTGCTTAAAAAGCGCGGCCTGACTCCCCTGCACACACAAATGTTTTCTTTCACATACTGCACATATTACATACCAGCCTCAACAATGGCTGGTTTGTTGCTGGGGCACACAGAGAGGACTTTGAGGACGCGGCTCGTGGTCCAAAGCAACTTCTCGTAGTTGTAGTTCTTCATGATGTGCACAAGACCTTCGGGACCTCCGTTGGCGAGAATGATCAGCTGTTGCACAGAGACGCAGCGTTAAAGTACGACTTTTACACAGTTCAGAATCATCTTAATCTCTATGTTAAGATGAAACAAAAAATATCTCATATCAGCAAAATTGTAGCTTGTCCAGGCAGATTAACCCCACTTAAATCCTTTCTTATTATTTTAATCATAAAAACGGAACCGCACCCATGCTGTCACCTGAACAGCTTGGTTCTCATGCCACACCCAACACTAAACACCTTCATACTGCAGATCTTGGCAGCTCTCCAGGTACGTGTCCTGGCTTCAAGAGCACAAAATGTAACAAAAGCAGACCTTGCTCTCCTGGTTGCCGTATGACAGCAGCTGCAGACAGTCTGTGGTGATGGCCAGGAACTTAGGGTTGGACTTCTTCAGCAGCGGAACCATCCTTTGCAGTCCGTCGGCCAGACGCACGGCCATCTTGGCTCCCTCCTGGTGCAGCAGCAAGTTGTGAAGTGTGGTGATGGCGTAGAACAGCACAGACTCTAGCGGAGAGCTGACAAGAAAATTCACATTCACAACAAAATCATAAGTTTTCTGCAGCTATAAGTTAATATGAAAAAAGGAAATCAGAAGGAACCGTCTTTAGGTTGACATACAACTTGAAGGAAAACCGTTTAAGAAAGAAGAAATTAATCGAAGAATGGAGTTTTTTTTTTTAAGTTTTTTTTTTTACATGGCTACAATTATATCTGAGTTCTCATCTCCAGACATTTATTAGTGCATAAAAGTGACAATCACCTTCATGATTGACATTCTGGCTAACTTTTCATGAAGTTTAGTTTTGATCCAATTTTCATATATGAGAGTAGTGGACAATATTTGTTTGTTTTCAGTTTCAGTCAACATAAATAAAATTTCATGAGGCTCTGGAACGCATCAGAAACATTATGTTCTAATATGTCCCAGTGCAACTTCTGAGATTTGCAAGAAAACAGATCAAATCTGCAGACCTAAGCCTTCTGAGAAAAAAAAAAAAGAGTGACGTTCTGGATGTGGATTCATTTTAATATCTGTGAAATGATGGGAGTCTGAGTCAGAAGCGGCAACACAAAGAGAATCACTTCCAGCTTTCATTCAGACCAACAAGCCTTCTGCTGAAGAAAGTTGGATGCGACTAGTCCATTGCACTGCAATTAAATCTAATAATTTGGGATTTTTTTGCATTTTGTTTCCTGTCCTGGTTACTGAAGACGGAACTGAGGCAGTGGCTACATTTTACAAACAATGTTTCTGTGCAGGGGAAATTCTTGGGAAGTCTTGACATGATTTCAAACAGTAGATGGGTGTGACATTTAAGTTTTAAATTAATCTCTGAATGAACTCAACAACTCATTGCTGCTGTGCCATCTGTGACTTTATGCCAGCTCCCCCTGTAACAAGCGAGCAGCTTTTTAAAAAAATGCATAAAAAACAAATAAATGGAGTCAGTTGGTTTTTGCATGAAAGACTTGCAAGACATTTTGTAGAATTAACAAATTTGGGTCTTCACCATCAATATGAGTTTTTAAGCCCTTACAATAGCACGAAGCTAAAGAGAGACTGCGTTGGCTGCATCAGCTTTGTGTCTGGGATGGCGTCCCGGCTCGGCTCGTTGTTCCTAAATGTCCTCAGACTAATCGAGCCTCGCAAAAGAATGAAGTTAAATCAGTCGTCATTACATTTTATGACATTTAAAGAACTGCCCTGCATTTATGAAGGAGCAGAACAGATCTTCTGTATGTTGTATTCTACATAGTATTATGAGCCAAATTCTTAAAACTGTGTGGAAACATACCATCGTTAGTAAGATGCAGGTTTCTTAAAGATTACGGCTGTATGTGTTGAGCAGAGTTTAGATCAGGCCTTAAAAAAAAAAAAGAATAAAATCCAACCCGACCTGGTTCGAGCCCATAGGCATCATGTCCAAGTAAATAAGTGAACCTGACATATTTTAATTAAGATTTTGCTGCATTCCTTTTCATTTGAAAGCAGAGCAACTTCTCCTGTTTTTAGATTTAACATCTTCCAGCTCCATCTTGTCGGTTGTTGTAACCACAGGGTGAGTTAAGTGTAAATCATCTGGGACGTGTGACTGAAAGGAGCCCGGCAGGACACAGCTGTGTTTGGTACAGCCTGACTAACTTCTCCATCTTACTGACGCATTTCCTTTCCTCAACAAGCTAAACTATCTACTTCTCTATTTACACTAATAAGTAGAACTTATGTGGTGCATCCATGTTTGGTTTTCCTTGTATTGTACATCAAAGAAGTAACTTTGGCCCAAACTTTGGGCCAAAGTTTGGGCCAAAGTCCTGAGCCAAATGATGTAGCTGTTTATGTGATGTGCTTCATATCAACTCAAACCATGTTGAAGCAGCTTATAAAACCTCTAACTGGGACAAAATATCAATTACAGTCGGGAAAATACGGCAACCCAGCGATTGGTCAACGTCGGTGAACGAGGTGATGTGGGAGGCAGATCTTCTTAACCTTAAATGTCGCAGACAAGACTATGATGTGTATTGTAAACGAGGAGTAAAGAGCGGGACATGAAGCCCATTTTCCAGCAGTACCTGAGCATGCGGACAAGAGCGGGGATGCCTCCTGAATTGAAGATGGCGAGCAGGCCCTCCCTGTCGTGGGATAAGTTGTGGAGGATACTGGCTGTGGCCTTGGTGGTTTCCATATTGTTCGAGTTCTGCAAGGCCCGGACCACCGCCGACACCATCTGAGTGGACTGCATCAGGGCGCGGCGGGAGGCCTCCTTATTGGAGAGCTGGTTGACAATCTGTGCCGCCTTGCTGACCACCGCCTGTTCACAGATTAAATATTTAGGGAGGGCAGGGTTTTTATTTGACTGTTGCAATGCTAGATGATATTTTTTGACAATATTTTTTGATCTGGCTTGTCCAACAAGCCAGATCACAGTGCGATTTAGCCTGGTGTTCATCACCTGATCTTCGTCGTTGAGCAGCTTGGTGAGCTCCGGGATGGCCCTGGTGGCCAGCTCGGCATCGTCCTGGTAGTTGATGAGGTGGATGATGGCCTGTTTGAGCATCTGGGAGGGCTCGGCCAGCCGCTGGACGTTGGTCATCTGGGACGGATCTGTCTGGGTCGACAGGATGGTGGTGCTTTCTTCCATCGACTCGGGGAACATCGCAGCCCGAACACGCTGAGCTCTGCTCAGTGTGTACTGGGTCTCCAACTCTGCAATGCAGCAAGCGGCGGTCAAACTGACGCCGAACGAGAAATTTACACAAAATTGGTCATTTTTAGGATTGCTTTGTCTCACCGGGTTGCTCTTTGGTGACGGTGGTGGTTGTGACGTAACGCGTTGTGGATGTGTAGTCGCCGTCATCGTCTCTGATGGTGGTGGCTCCAGACTGGATGCCCGAGTCGTGACCGTAATACGACTGACTCCACTCGCTGACCTTTTTCATGCCACTATCCATCTCACTCACTGAAAAACACAAAAATAGGAAGAGAAGGCACATTTAAATTCACAAGATCAGATCCCTCCCACTGGATCTGATTGGTTGTTTCAGACAAAGAGAAGTTTGTTTCTGCTGATAGCAGTAGGACCACAAAAAGAGGCAGAGGAGCTCGAGTTTTTCACTGATTATCTAACTCGTTATCCTGTCATGACTTGGTGACAGTTTTATGCTTTATAAATGAAATGTTTTAAGATGTAAAAAAATATTTTCATAACAGTTGTATGCTCCAACTTGAACAGGAATCTACTAGATTTCAGAAATCTGTTTCTGATGCCAAGCTGAAGTGAGAACACTAAACACAAAATTATTCAGGTTAAGAAAATTTATTTTCAAAGAAATTATTGACCTTTCAGCCTCCATGTTGTCAGAGCGTACTCTGATTAAAGAAAAAATAATATTTTACTTAAATTTGATTTGTTAGTCACCGACCATTCTTGAACACAAAGTTGTTTCAAATATTTCTTACGCAAATGCAAGAAAACAATAACTGAACTTTAGACGGGTTACAATTAAAAGCCTATCCCATAAATAGAGCCATAAGAGCGATCCTAACCTTTAAGATGAAATAATTATTTTGTCAAATTTTAACTTTATTTTTTCCTCAAGAATGTAAATCTAGAGATAAAAGCTGCAATAATTTTCTATGTCAGTTTTAGAGACGGAGTGTCAAATACACAAACGCTCAAAATGTAGGGAAATAAACGGCAGATTTTCATCAAAAAATCTGCCGTTTAAACATCTCAGTCAGTGGTGACACAGAGCTCAATCTGGTTAGTATACTATGTAAAGAAATTTTATTCTAGGGTATAATTGCAAATGCACCAAAGCAACAACATACTTACAAATAAACACATACAAAACAAAAGAACAAAACTTGAGTGTTGCACTGCATGTTTTAAAAGAAATACTTCACTGTATTTACATTTTTTCAGCTTTTGCGACCCTTCCTTCAGAGAAAACTCAATTTTTTCCAGAAAAAAAATATTTTAAAATTAATAACTTAGTAGATAATCAATTAGTTTATCTGGCAAGCATATTTACTTAATTCTACTAATTGATTATTTCAACATCAGATTTTGTTCTGTGTTGGTTTATAGCATTTATTCTATTTAATCACTTGTGACCTGGAAACATGAGATTTGCTTTTCCCCTTGTTGCAGCTTGAGACGGTTTAAGAAACAAACCTCCAAGAGCTGCAGGATGGATCTCTATGATGCTATAGAAGGAGCCATCCAATGATTTCAGAAATTATTAAATGTGACATAAAATTCAGGCAGCATTAGACGAACCAGACAAAAGGGGGAAACCAAGTAACAATATGACTGTGAAAAGAATTCAGTGGATAAAAAAACAACATTGCTAAAACATGCAGGGAAGAAAAGAAATGCAGAGAAATTATATTTTAAAAAAAAGGAGCTGAACGACTTACTGTGCATCTCCATCCTTGTCCGTTATAAAAGGAGCAACGACGGAGCCAACCTGAAATATGCAGAGAAATAAAATAATGATTTCCCCAGATTTCCTTCACTCCAAATGATGAAGATGCATCTGACTACACGCCCATCCTTTCATGAATTACTAAGCATTCTGGCACGCTCTCTGCCTCCTTGCACAAGTGCTGTCGTTTTGCTTTCTCATCTGCCACCGTGACAGATCCCGAGCCGGACCCTCCTACCCTGCAGCCAGGCACTCTGACCTGAAAACGACAACACAAAGCAGCAGCAGCAGCAACAGCAGCAGCGGCGGCAGCAGCGGCAGCAGCAGCGGCAGCAGCAGCGGCAGCAGCAGCGGCAGCAGCGGCGTTGTGGTTCCAGGAGAAGGGAGGGCGAAGTGGGCGGAGAGACAGCAGCATGTCAGAAATTCTCAGCACCGACCTTTAACCCCCTGGTCCCCACCCAAGCAGCTTGAAGCAGCCTCCTGTGAACATATTACCATCAACTCGCCTGTCAGGTTTGGATTCTGGTAAGCCTGAGTGTGTGTGTGTGTGTGTGTGTGTGTGTGTGTGGGTGTGTGTGTGTGTGTGTGTGTGTGTGTGTGCGTGCGTGCGTGCGTGTGTGTGTGGGTGTGTGTGTTTGTTTGTACAGTGAGTCGGCACCTCGTCGCCCACAAAGCAAAACATGAGAAAACACTAAATACTTCACATTTATGTGCTTAAAGATAGGTTTGTATAGTATTCAAAACACAGTTTTAAACAGCTACAGTTGTGCAATTACCCACCAACCTCTCCACAGGTTGCATATTTACACTGTTACTTGCCAGCACACGCTCATTCTACACGCCTTGACATCATGTAATCATGCTTCATGCTACATTGGTTGCTCAAACCAGATACAGCTTCACTGCAGTAAACTGTTGAATTTGTGTGCATTTTGCAATAAAACCAATCCACCACCCCTTTGGGAGACGAAAAAACAGTGCAGTAGGATCTGGACCTGTGCATACGGTTTCCTAGTCAACTTAAGGATTTTCTCTTCACGCGGCGAGATTCTTTGTGCAATGTCTTTATTTTCCGGGGTAAACACCACTGTTGGGACATAAATAGAAACGGTCGCCACATTTCTGCAGCTCAGATGACATTCACCACAGAAACTCCCTTGAAAATCTGCATTTATAATAGCTGCCTGCCACTGCTTGTGACACATGACTAACTAGCACAATGCGTACACTGTGCTGCTTTCAACTGCTTTCAGATGTTTGGCTGTTACAGACGGCTTTGTTAGGCAAATTGCCGGGCCACATTGTGTGCATGTTTCATTATGGACTCAAGGTATTCAAAGATTTCAATGAACAAGACAATGAACACGCAGAAAAAAAAGGTCATCCCTGAAGCTGCTGCGAGACATCTGGTTTTAGCACGGCAGTAAGGATCTATGAGAATCTTCCATTATTACAACCAATAAAACAAGCTCTGACAAAGGTACATGCTGTCTAGCTGCTGCGTTGGCAGAAGGTGAGCTATAAAAACAAAGTCAGGGTGACAGAGTGATCAAAGTCCAGGAGCTAAAGAGGACAGAGACAATTGAAAGTTGTTCTGTGATGTGCTCAGAATTTGGGATATTTTTAAACCTGATCCTGCTTTAAACCTCTCCATAACTCCCTCCCTGACCCGTCTTCCTTGTTCTTTATGATGTTTATTCACCGATGTTCTCTCAAAAGGAAAAATCTTCCCTAACCTGCAGAGTTTATGCTGAAACGCAGGTCGTCCTGGACTTTTTTGGCAGTAGAAGAGGAGAGGGAACTAAAGACAAAATCAACGTTTCTCATTTTTATTTGCAAAAAAGAACCATGTGCCATTTTCTTTTTACCTCAAATAAAAACCACTGAAGTCTGTAGTTTCAACCCTCTAAAATGCTTCCGTGTTTTCTACAACTCATGCACCTTTCAGAGAAAATATGTGGTTGTTTCGTAGTATTTCAAGTTGTTTCTTTATCTCTGTTCACTTCCAGAGAGATCAGCCACTCAGAGTTTCAGCTGCAGTGACTCTGGCATGATATCCCCATAGGACCAGGCCCCAGAGGACTGTCTGTACTCGCAGCTACACGATGCACTGACTCATCAAGCGTCCGCCGACAACTGCTCTTACAGTCAACATTCACGCTCACCTTTCCAAGGCGCAGCTTCAATTTACTGAAAAACATCCTCAATAATCACCGGCCGCTAATGGAAATAAATCGATTAATGCTATGAATAGCTCTGATCAAAGTTTTGAAAGGCTGTTTAAAACATTATCCCCCACACACACACACAGCATGTTGCCATTCTCTGGAAATCAAGGAGGGTATTTGGTGCTGCTTTGTCAGTCCAAGGCGAGGCAGCGGGTTCAGTCAACTATTGCAGCCCAATGACACGCCCTGCTGATCGCCTTGTTTCGTTGAAGGTTTTATCTCCTGGCCCAACTCATGTCTGGCGCTGCAGACATTTGGTTTTATTTTTGATAAGATTGCTAAACTGTTACGGAAAACCTTCAAATCTTTCAATGATAAAAAGATTTGAATCAGATTACAGTAAAAGTAAAACTGAGAGTAAATCTGGGCTTAAATGTTATTTCCTATTCTTCCTGCTGAGTTTCGAGTTTTATCAGCCAGTTTACAGTTAAATGCTTGGTCAGATTGTGAACTTCACACTGGACTTTGCTCTCTTCTAGTTAATAAGTGACGCCTTCTTTACCACCAGCACCACAACAGCAACACGGAGGCCTAGCTTTGGGAGAAACCCGCATTTCACACTCAGCACCTCCCACTTGTCTTGTTAGGCAACAGAATAACTTCAGGAGGCTTCTTCCAAAGAAGAAGAAGAAAAAAAACAACTGCCTTCACAGTTAAACCAGGAATGCACATCCGTGAAAAGCTGCCAGAGAGCAAGTTGCGACAGACAAAGCAGACGTGGACTCTTTCCAGCTTTCACTGCTGAAACACTGGTGTGACATTCCACGCCAACGCTGCATATTCGATCTGTCCGAGAGTGACGCTTCTGCTGCTAAAACCAAAAACATGTCTCACAGTTTCACCACTTTTATTTTAAACTCCTCTGACTCAGCCGTCATGTCAAAACTGCTGAAATGATCAGATAAGAGGACGTCTCTGCTGTGACAAAAGGGATGAGTAAGGCTGCTGCTGTCGGTGGTGAGAACATGCAGTCCTGCCCCCCCGTCCCACAGGCGAGTCAAACAGGGAGTGTCTCCAGAGCAACAACAGGTTCCCGATAAGGGTGTGGCGGAGGATTGCGTGGGTGAAGGTGAATACACCTTCAGGGAATATCAACGTTTCCTAACATCTTCCACTTGTTGAGGTTTGCAGGTTGCCAAGCGCATATTGGAGTGTGGTAACGAAAACCATTCCATTCGCTGTCCTGAGCTCTTCTTCGTATCACAGCAGGAATAAATCAGGGTCCACGACCCCCGGGATGAACTCTGCTCATATTCCAGTCGTATTCCTGACAAGCTCCAAGGAGTTTGTGCTGATTTCTTATTTAGGTTTAATCCTTTCTGGCAGGCAGGGTGGTAGGAAAAACATCTGAGATGTTGCTCGTCTCTCTGGGCGACTTTACACACTTGCTTAAGAGCATTAGGCCCACGCAAATCCAATAAACCAAAAGTTTTAGGAAATACGCTCATTTGTCTTTTTGCCAACAACTACATGAGAAAACTTATCCCTATTTGGACTCGCTTACAGGCCAGCAGCCAACTAGGCTACCAGAGATCAGCATGTCAGAAAATAAGAAGTGAACGCTTCTTAAAAACAGGTCATTTTTACTCAGCAGAATACTAAAAATATTTGCACAAAAAAAAAAAGAAAAAAAAATGTGCGCATGTTGTCATCCAATACACATGCAAGTAAGAGGATCTTGTGTCTTTGTTGTTTAAAAACAGGGGGAAAAAAGCCTTTTACCCCATCTGGTTTCTCACAGACTTGCTGGTTTCATGTTTGGGCTGACAAGCAAATAAAGCAGATTATTGAAGCACACATCTGTAAAGCTTCTTGCACCATCTGGATCAGAGAACTATGCGACATACAGGCCACCCCCCACGTCATGAACGGCAACCCATACTCCTTCCCAAACTTCTGGCACTCTGTGTCCTATCAATGTAGAAAAGGTACATTTCGACCAAAATACTTCACCTTTGGCCTATTATTGGGATACATTTCCGATAAACTTCAAAGTAGATTTATGGTAGAAATTTTCACATTTCACTGAAGCATTTTTAGCACAGATTGCCGTCTGTTTTGGCGGTAGTACATTTTGATTAGATTTACTGACGTAAACCCACTGAACTGCTAGTTTTACCACAAAATTAATCTCTTGTGCACTACATAGTTTATTAAATGTTAAAGAGTTTACTGGAAATACAATACAAAAGCAAGCATTAGACATGTCTCAACTTAGGCTACAAAGATACATGGTTTGACATTATGTCCAAACTTTGTAGCTGCAATTTTCCGTCATGTCATGAATCTTGTGCACTATGTAGTAAATCATAAAAAAAGTGCAGTGAAAACTTGAAGCGTTAGAATGCTAATTGGTAGCCTATTAGCTTGTCTGGCTTGATAAAGTCAACATAGTCAGATAAACCATTCAACTTCTGTGCAGTATTTCAGTACATCATGTGATTCGTGGATGAAAAAAAAAATAGATTTTGAAGTTGTCAATCCCAGTAGAATAAATCCCAACATATTATGTATTAAGTCCACCTGGACGCCAAGCCACAAGTTTCTCATCTTCTGCTTGGACAACGGTAACCGATCAGGCTGTGAGGGCGCACAGTTCGCCATGAATCAATAAGTGAGGATGTGAAAACAGCTAATGGATTTAATGTGGTGGGTGACAGGAAATGAGAGTCAACCTTATCTGACTCACTAAAGCTTTTGGTGTGATCAGACAGAGGAAGTTTGTTTAGAGAAGTTAAGCTGCTGCTAATTACTATGAAACAGGCACAAAGTCGCTGAGGCATTTGCCTAAGCGCCACAAGCACAGATAAAGAG